GTATGTGTTTAGTTGTATATATTGCAAAGTAAAAAAAAAAACGTTTTTTAATTTTAATAAACGGTTTTTTCCATTACCCTGCCTTATATATACGTTCCCTAAAATATAATTAAACACAACTAACTTAGATTTTAAATACAAAATTATCAGTCAGTGCTTTAAACTCTTATATAAAAGTAATCTTTGTTCGAGTTTGATTTACTTGCCAAACGTTTAGGGCTTCGTAATCTTCAATACAATTATCTACTTGATCGGGCTTGTAACCCTTACTTGAACATTTTTCCAAAACATCAGAAATTTTAACAATCTTACTATCTCCAGCCAATTCACGGATAAGAGCAAATATTTTATCATTAACACTACCAGCAGGTCTAAAACAGACAGGCACAATTCGTGATAAATTTTAAAATGCATTCCCACAGTTCAATAATTAAAACAATGTTCTTAAAGCTGCACAGTGTTCAGGAAAAGCATACCATTTAATTATTCGATGCTCATTTGCATATTAAAAGATAAAAATAATAAACTATTAAACTATATAAATAAAACAACTAACCAACAAGAAGAATGAAAATATGTCTCAATTTTCTGTAAAACGGAATAATATGTTTTTCCTGTAATACTACATTCAAAATAAATAAACAGTTTAAGTGCACATTTTGATTAAAAAAAAATGAAGTCTAAGGAGGTACTTTTTTTTACTATAAGTGTAAGTTTATGAAAATATTTTCTTACCTGAATCCTCTAGATTCGGCTACACAATTCAAAGAATCTTTGCTCATTTCCAGTAATCGAATTGCTTCTTTTACATCATCCTTCTCAACTGAATTTGCCAGCCTGAGCCTGGCTAAAGCAGTGGATAATCTAAGTATACCAAGCAAGTTACGTGCAGATGTAAAAGTCATATCTGGAGAATTTCGAGCTTGCTTACGAAGCTCTACATAAGCGGCTATACAAAAAAAAAACAAAATCAGTTACTTTGAAAATGTAAAATTTAAAACCATAAACCATAAATTAATTCCTTTAAAGCTATTTTAATTATTTAGTTTTTATTTCAATATTTTTAGTAGATAACATAATGAAAATTAAAAACAAAATTTGCAATTACTCACAAACAATAAAATCAGTTAGATCTTCTGGAATGACAGGATTCTTCATTTTACAAAGTGAAATATATTTGCGCATAACGTTCATGTCAAGCGCTTGTACGTTTGTTGGGGGTTGTTTGCAGTGCTGGTGAACATAAGTTATATGTTTGGCTAATCGTAGGTCATTATCACGATTAGGTCTATCTTGAATTAGCCACAATAAATCAAAACGCGACAAGAGAGCAGCTGGAAGTTGAATATTTTGTTCAATAGTGCGTTTGGGATTGTAACGTCCAAATGCTGGATTGGCGGCAGCTAATATTGATACGCGAGCATTTAACGTTGTCATGATACCAGCCTATAAATGATTTGCAATAACTAAGTCATTTATACATAAATACATACATATAAGTCCTGAAAGCATTTAGTGACTTTTTATTTACTAAGTAAATGATTTAAATGAACTTCGTTAAATACTAGTCCTTTGTTTTTAGTGAAAATAAAATATTTATAGTAGTAGAGCAACAATATCAAGAGGATAATTGAAAAATATTTAGCATAAACTATTTTGAGTACTATAAGGAGCACTCTCATCAAGAAAGAAAAATATAGAGTACTAAAGACAACATTTCGGACTTTTTATATTAAATACCTTGGCAATACTAATTGTCTGTTGTTCCATGACTTCATGAATGGCAGTTCGATCAAAATCAGCCATTTTATCAAATTCATCAATACAACATACACCCTTATCTGCTAACACAAGGGCTCCACCTTCCAACATCATTTCGCCAGTCAAAGGATCTCTCATGACCGCTGCAGTTAAACCCACTCCTGAAGAACCTCTTCCAGTAGTATACTGACCTAATATAATTTTTACGGTTTTAATATAATTTGTAATTACAAATACATATTTCAACATTACTTCTGGGTGCAAGACGACTGATGAACCCTAACAACTGCGACTTGGCTACACCAGGATCGCCCATAAGGCAAATATTAATATTTCCGCGAATTTTCATACCGTCTGGTTTTCGATCAACCCCTCCTACGAGAAGTAACAGTAAAGCTTTTTTAACATCTAAATGACCATAGATTTCAGGCGCTATGGACATGGCCAACTTAGTATAAAAATCTTCTTCAGTTAAAGCGGCAAGTTCGTCTGGTGTTAAAGTGGAAGAAGCGGTTTCTTCTTCTGCGGTTTTGTTTACAGAAACTATTCTCTTTAAGAAAATTATTATTTTAACATGTAAACTACTACGTTTTAAGAAAAATGCTCACATGTGCTTCAAGATACGTATCAGAAAGGAGCCCACCAACAATTTGCTTGTAACCACTTCGAATAAGTGGTAAAAACACGCCTGTTATGGCAACATGGTCTCCTGGTAAAGTTTGACGAGTGTTCTCTCCACGACAAAATATTGTTAATGAACGTGGTACATGGCCGACTGGCACTTGGTCACTCTGCCAAAAAAAATAATTTAATTCTTAATTATGTAGCAGACTGCAACCTACTCTTAAATTTATTTATATAATTCATGATGTTTCCTTTTTATAATTAAAAAAATACTAAACAAAACCGTACAGGTTGCTCATATCATTTTTATATAGGTACTTATGTGCACTTTTTATTACAAAAACAAAATACTAAAATTCTAATAAATTGCGATAACACTTCGGGTGTCAAAACACATTTCGGTTTTTTTAAACGTTTTTATATGAATTTTTGAATTTTATGATTCTCGAAATCTCCCTTATCAATCCACCCTCGTAACATTAGTAAAATTTCTTACTTTATACTTCAATTAATTTTAATGTAGGCTAAATATCCAGCAGTCGATCCTAAAAGAAGTGGTGAAACCTTTTCGCGAGTATTTGGTACAAAAAGCAGTTTCCTAGAAATATTTTTGTTAGAACGTAAAATCAAAGGTCCTTGTTGGCTTGACGTGACCAATCCAGAATCAGTTTCCAACCCTATGAGTTGGTGTAAATTTGAAGTGAATTGCAATAAGGTGTCTGATATTTCTGTAGTAAAAAACTCCAACAATCTCCCTCCTCCTCCGCTTGTTGTAGCTGCTATAAATGTGAAGACAGTGGTGAATCCGAAATATCTTCGCAACGAGATAGTGATGATTTCTTGCCTTGTTAATGATAAATATTATGTGGACAAACAGGCTCCAAAAATACCTTTTCAAAAGCATTTCTGTGGTGAGTTTCCTTTGTTTTTAAAACTTTTTTGTTTGCACCCCCCAATTTTTTCTAATATTGTTATTGCCAATATTTAGATAAAAATTGTAGCACTTTACATGGGGTCTAAGAAAATTATTTGTATATATTAGGCATGTCAAACTCATTAACCACCAAGTATTACGTTTTAAATCACGATCCGTAAAACAAAAAAAAAAGAATGTATAGGTATGAAATATTAATACACAGAATATAAATATATTAAAAATAATGTATGTAGGAATGCCTATTTTTTTTTTTCAGTTTAATATTATTCACACAAAGTAATTTCAAGAGCGTACCGAACTTTATGACGTGAGTTCGAAGGGAGGAGGTTGAATAAACGGAAATATTTTCTGAAATATGTTTATTTAATTCATGTACCGTGTACAAATTCATAATTTTAATAAATGAATCCTGTGTTGAATAACCATATATTGGTTATCAATCTTAGCAGGCCCCAAAAGTTTCGGAAGGACCGGATGCAGGTCGCGAGGTTGACATGCCTGTTATATATGCAGGGTGTTAATTATTATGTAAATTATAATAATTAATTAATTAGTCGAATGCGTAAATAGCACTTGTACTGTTGTGTACAAATTTTGCTTACAATTAGCTCTATTTTTCAAATAAGGCTAACACGCTTTTTTGGAATAATGAAGTACCTAAATGTTTCAATTTTTAAATTTTTAGTGTTAACTCGTCCTGGAGATCGAATGTTTCCCATCGATTTTCACGAGAGTGTGCAAAACTATAAAGCCACCAAAGTACAAAAAACGGACTCGGAACGTTCTTTAATAAATTATTTCATCAATCAATTCTCAAAATTAGATCCTGATCTTATTGTTGGACATGATTTGTTAGGTTACCAAATACCGGTTCTCTGCCAACGTCTCGTAGAGCATAAAGTGAATACTTTCAGTAAATTTAGCCGAATAAAAAGAAGTATAATGCCATATAAACAAAAAAATGAGCAGCTGTTGTTTACAGGGCGCTTAGTTTGCGACATTAAAGTTTCAGCAAAGGAATTAATAAAGTCGAGATCTTTTGATCTTCAAACGTTGTGCCAGAATGTTTTGAAGATAACTGAAAATCAAAGGGTTGAAATCGACCCTGAAGATATTCCAAAGTGTTATCAAGATTCTACAAGTTTACTAAAATTAGTTTCCTTTACAATGCAAGATACATTATTTGTTTTAAAGATAATGTACGAATTAAATGTTATACCACTTGCCCTTCAAATTACCAATATAGCTGGGAATGTTATGTCACGCACTTTGATGGGCGGTAGATCTGAAAGAAACGAATTTTTATTATTGCATGCTTTTTACGAAAAAGATTATATTGTACCTGACAAATACGCCTTCAAGAAAAACAAAGACGAAATAGACAACGCATCTTCTCGAAAAAAGCCGACATACTCCGGTGGCCTTGTATTGGATCCTAAAGTAGGTTTTTATGACAGACTGATTCTGTTAATGGATTTTAACTCATTATATCCCAGCATTATTCAAGAATACAACATTTGTTTCACAACCATAGCTGACACACAAGGTGAAGATGTAGTTTTACCGGACAAAAGTTTACCACCAGGAATATTACCAACTGAAATTCGAAAACTCGTAGAAAGTCGTAGAGCAGTCAAAAAACTTATGAACAATTTAGAAATTTCGAACGATTTAAGAATGCAGTACAACATTCGTCAGATGGCTTTAAAATTAACAGCTAATAGTATGTATGGTTGTTTAGGATTTTCAAATTCACGATTTTTCGCCAAACATTTAGCAGCTTTGGTAACGTACAAAGGAAGAGAAATTCTTACAAGTACAAGAGATCTGGTCCAAAAAATGGCACATGAAGTGATTTATGGTGATACAGACAGTATAATGATTAATACCAATTGTTTAGATTACGACCAGGTTATGCAAATCGGTCTTAAAATAAAGCAAGAAGTGAACAAACTTTATCGTCAAGTAGAATTAGATATAGACGGGGTTTTCAAATATCTCCTGTTACTCAAAAAGAAAAAATATGCGGCAGTCATTGTAACAAAATCAAAATCAGGACAGCTTGTGACAACACAGGAGCACAAAGGATTGGATTTAGTTCGAAGAGATTGGTCACAATTGGCTGCAGAGGCTGGTAAATTTATTCTCAATTGCATTTTCAGGGACCACAGTCTTGACGAGCGAATTGAAAATATTCAAGCACACTTAAGAAAACTTAGAGAAGATTTAGAAAACGGTAAGGTGCCTTTGTCGCTTTTAATTATCACGAAGCAACTTACTAAAGATCCAGAAACGTACGCTGGGAATTTGCAACTGCCACACGTTCAAGTGGCTCTCAGACATAATGAGAAAGGTGGTAAACTGCTAAAAGCAGGAGACACTGTGCCTTATGTGATTTGTGAGGATGGTACGAAGAACTCTCACGTACAAAGAGCGTACCACGTAGATGAATTGAAGAATTCTGAAGACCTAAAGATCGACGTTAAATATTACCTCGCACAACAAATTCACCCTGTAGTAACTCGTCTTTGTGAACCAATGGAAGGGATTGATGCTTATGAAGTGGCAAATTGTTTAGGTCTCGATAATACTGCATTTAAAAAACCCAAAGACAATAATCAAATATCCGTTGGCGACAATCTACGGAGTAAAGAAATTGTTTTCAGAAACGTTGATTTCTTGACATTTAAATGTATGTCATGCAAAACGGTAAATGTGGTTAATGATGTAAATAAAGACACCTTTTTTGAGAAATGTTTAAATCTCAATTGCTCTGTTCGCCCAATTGAGTATCTAACGTCTGTTCAAAATCAACTAATTCTAAGTATTCGAAGATACATAGCCAAGTATTATGAAAATGAATTTATATGCGAAGATCCTGCTTGCCCTAATGAAACAGATGATATTCCATTGAAGTTCGTTGGCAAATATCCTATTTGCTTACTTTGTAGAAGAGGAGTAATGTATAAGAAATATTCTGAAAAAGATTTGTATACGCAGTTGTTGTACTACAAACATTTATTCGATTTAAATAAACATGAGAAAAGTAAGTATACCACTTTAGTAAATAAATAATTAAGGCGGTCCGGGTGTGACCCGAGAGGTCTACAGTACTAACAGAAAATCGCATAAAAAAATTAAGTCTATAAAATTTAAATATCTGGGCATCTTTGTGTACACTATTTTTAAACTAAATAGTACATAAAAGATTTAAATTGTAATAACAATTTAGACATTATTGCATCATATGTCTCTCTCTAACTACCACCCCCCATTCCCACGATTCCTAAGAGGAGGATGAAAAGGACTTCTCGCTCTACTCTCCGACTTTGCAGCAGAGTTTAAGTCAGAGGGGCTAACCTTCCACTAATATTAATAGCCCAAGTTTAGTGAAAATTTTGTAAATTACAAATTTTTATTTACGGTTTTTCAAGTGCACTTTACTGCTTTATTTAATATTAAATTCAAAAATACCGAAACAAATAGTTTGATTTGTTTTTAGGGAAACATTTGGAATCAAATATAGAAAATGGTTTTCGTATTCTTCACGAAACAGTAAAGAAATATATGAAGCTATCTAGCTATTCAACCGTCAATTTGACTGATTTTTTCCATATATTTTCAACTTCAAGTAATTCAAATAAAACGAAAGACATTGTAATTGATGAAGAATTTATGGTTTCCGAAGGTGAAGATGTTTATTAGCTGTTTTCTGCATTTTTTACGCTTTAACTATTTATCACTTGTATTTTAAAATATTTACCGTTTTATTCTTATTACCCCATTTTTAATAAAATTTATA